GTGTGTATCAGTCTCTGCGGATATTGGGCGGGGGGATGCTCTACACACTTGACTCTCATCAGCGAAAAACAAAAATCTCGAGCTGTATGACAGTAACATTTATTCCTGAGAGCTTAAGATGGATGAGAGGGAAATGGGCCAGGAGAGTGTGTGCTGTGTGTGGGTGTCCGTGTTTATTACGGCTCTCAAAACGCCTCCAAGTAGTTCAAGCTCTTCTTTCAACTCGTCTTGACCCCCCTTCTTTCCTTCCTTTCTCCAACCCCTTTCCCTTTGCCTCACTTCCCTTTCCCCATCACTGTGGTCTTTCTTATACAGTCCATCCAGACTGCATTTAAAACATGAACCTATCCTATCGAGGCTCATAAAGTAGCATCCTATCAGCGAGAGGTCCCTTTCACATTTCACAAGGGACTATAGTATACGAAATTACAAAAAATAGCATCATTTCGGAATAAGTAAGGCACCAAGCTAACTATCGAGAGCTGAGTTCTTAAAGTGAGAGGTAGTTTAATGTCACAATCAGAAGAAATGCAGGTTTAAATCACTTCAAAATTTCCTTCACTTTCCCAGAATCAAGTCGATCTTTTATATACAGCCAATTCTACCACAATACAGCTCATCTCCATCCTTCTCCAAGCAACAGAGGCTGTGGGACATCACGACACGTGACGGCTGCTTGACGGCAGCAGAAAAGCGAGACAGCATGATACTTTCATCTACCATTTAGCAGAACAGAGAAAAGATGTTAACAGTTCTCAGCGGGGAAATTAGCAGGGCGTTATGAGCCCGTGTACACAGAGTGCCTGGGATATTAACTGTTACATTATGGGAAGCTGGGGTCTTCCATGCCAAACGGTTTACAACTCATGCTGAGAGACTGGAACTGGCTTCTGCCACAAGTGGCAAGTGGTGAATTTGTAATAATAGAGCACAAGCTGCAGAACAACAATCAGTATCGCTCTGATTTAATAATTTAAAATACATGATGCCTAATAAATTCAACAACAGTCAGTAAAACCTCTACTATAGAAGTGCTGTAGAAGTTCTTTAAATATAGCTATAGCTTGGAGTCACAATGTGAAGTATCTGTATAGCACAGTTTAGCTATATCACAACATACCAAACCACAATTTAATTCATTACGGCTCCAGCCTCCACAGCATTCGATAACTGCGCTGACCTTTGATACGGCCAACCTCGTTGGTGAAAGGGTTACTTGTAATGGTCTCCTTCCTTGACTAAACCTGTAGCCTGAGCTGAACTAATTGGCTCAATAAATGCATGTTGATACGGGTCACTAGAGAGAAATCACAATTTAATGCCAAAAATGTCTCAGCGCAAGGTGTAATTGTTGAATGATTGGACGAGTTTTACCGTGAAGCTGTATAAAATGAAAGGCAAAAAGGAACACCGAGGTTTGTGTTTTTCATAAATACCGGCGGTATAAAAAGGAACACCACTCCAACATATAATTAAGGTGAATATCACACTGTTGCATGATTTCCCTACTGAAAACCACGAGTTGCACATAAATTTGAAAGCACTGGAAGTTAAATCGCTTGATTCAAACCATATCAGACTGACAGTATCATGTTTTGCTCATAGCATGATTAATTAGCTCACTAGAGTCAGTGGTTCAACTCTCGGTGTGTGCTTTCATTAGCCACTCACATGTCGGTGAATCGGTCATTGAGCCGAATGTTTGCTGATGATTTTTACAAAGGTGAATCAAATGATCCATTCCTGTTGTAATTCACTACCAGTGGCAGACTGGCCATCTGGAGTGCTGTGACTTTTCCCGGTAGGGTTCTTTTCGAATTGGGCCAATGCAAAAGAACAGAAATTGAAATATTCACTGGGCCGTGGATCTGATGACAGACCTGGTGGAGTGAAGAAGACTCATTACAGTTCATGATTCACCTGCTTTCACCACAAATAAGAGCTTATTTGATGTCATTTACAATGCCAATATTCATAAATGCCACAGTGTCTTGAAGGGGCAAAGATTTAATCATAAATTACTTTTATATTTATATAAAGTATTATAAGCATAGAAAGATCACTGAACATGCTCATGCCTGATGGTGTGTTGTTGAGTTTTACTTCAGTTGTTTAATTCCTCACAAGCAGTCACGTTGCAGAAAAGGGATGAGAACTAAGCAGTCAAACAAAAAGATGTTTTTTCTGAGTGCTGGACTCAAATTCTATAAGTAAACGTTGCAAAAACGAGAGATTAAGTCGCTTTGTTACTTTATATCATCTAGCTGTTTTGCTGCTGTGGAAAAGAAGCAAACCCTGAAACACCAAGGACACATTTAACCATCTCAAAGTCTGGGCTTAAAACTGTCAGTTCACAACCAGGTGCTGGATGATCTGGCTCCATTTTCTAATTCAATAAATAAAATGTATTAAATAAGTTCCACCTTTGTTAAATGCCTTATACACTTACATAATTTAATCAAAGCTTTCAGAAGTAAACAGAAGTAAACACTCTTCCCCAGCTGTGGCAGTTTTATCATTTATTTGCTTTATCAGATAAATGTTATTGTTGATAACAGGTCTTCCTCTGTATCATTCTGTCACACTGTAGAAGCTAGATAGGTAGAAAACCTCCAGCAGATGTTAAGGCTTTAGTTTTGGTTTATCAGTGACTGTGATTGCAATTCTAATTCAGTCCTTAATTTAGGTGCTTTAACCTTGATTGGACAGCCGAAGTCATTTATGGGGTTTTGATGAGATGGTCTAACTCAGAAGCGCAGGACATTTTTTCCTTTCATTGCCAGCTCCTATTGATTATAGGCCAGCAGTTGTAAAGAACGACATTGAAATGAAATGCATTTCAAAGATTTATGTCTGATGCCTGAAAATTCTTGAGCTGATATGTTGGACCTGTGTGGAAACAATGGAATGCGCATTTTCCAAAAAAAGGGAATTTTCCACGGTGTTTAAGGACACTTTGGCTGTTCTCTGTCAAATTCTATTAACACGTTGTTGAGTTTTACTTCAGTTGTATAATTCATCACAAGCAGTCACGTTGCAGAAAAGGGAGGAGAACTAAGCAGTCAAACAAAAAGCCTTTTTCTTCTGAGAGCTGGACTCAAATTCTATAAGTAAGCATTCCAAAAATGAGAGATTAAGTCGCTTTGTTACTTTATATCATCTAGCTGTTTTGCTGCTGTCGAAAACAGGCAAACCCTGAAACACCAAGGACACATTTAACCATCACAAAGTCTGGGCTTGATGTCAGTTACTTAGAAAGATGAAACATTTGCCTGTCCTCAAAGAGTTTAAAGTGTGTGCGGATAGCGTGAAGGTTTTACTTGTGTCTGTAAAGGATTTTAGAGCGTTAACTCTTATTTTATGTGTATTATGCGTGTGTGTGTGTGTGTGCTAGTAGGGGAAAGTATACCCTCCGTGATACTTTGAGTCAGTCTCAATGCTATGCTTCGAGCAAGAACAGTAGCAGCTTAGCCACTTCTGAACCTCCCACACTCCCAGCGCACCGTCTGGCTACAAAGAATCTTTTTTCTCAGAGGAAACAATTCCAATCTTCTTCTCCGATTTCCCACGGATTTTCTAAATGTAGTTTTCACACTCTCTTTTGGCAAGAGTGTATGATTTTTGTTCTTTATGTTTTCTCTTCCTTTGTTGTAAAGCTCCACATGGTGATTATGCTAACAAATTCTTCTAAAAAAAATGTGGAAGGAAGAAAGAAAAACATTTTGACCAGTCAAGCAGTCAGTGTGGAGTGCACTGTAGAAACACACACACACACACAGTGATTAAAATGACACTAACAAGATTTGAGGCCTGCCCGCTGACGTGCAATGAGGCATTTCAACATCCAGACTTGTTCCTGGGTTGTGTTTGCGTGCTTGTGAGTTTAGAGGTGTGTGCATGTGTGTAGGATTCGTATATTGAAGCATCAGAAGGCAGGGGGGGGGTAGAAGAAGAAACTGTGACCGAAAGTCGTGGCAACAGTGACCAAATCATCTCACTGGTAAATGTCAAAAGTCAAGACCCAGCAGAAAGATCAAGACTGCATGCAGACACCACCATTATACTGTTACCAGAAGGAGAAATTCAAAGGTGAAAGAGGAAAGAAAATGTGAACGACTCAGTTCCCTTGTTTAGTAAGTGTTAGTCAAAAAAAATGCAATGAAAGGAAAAGGTAATTAAAAACTAAACAAAAAAAGAAAAACAAGAAGAAAACCAAACCTGGGCAAACTGGCTCACACCAACTTGAACCCCTTGAAAGAATCTGGGAATCGTCCAACAATCCCAGCACCGCTGCATCCACTGCAGGGCCAAAACTCTTGTAGAAGGGCCTATCATACACCACAATTCACTTTGAATTTGCATCCAGCAGAGCTACAGATTCCCGCTGCAGTGTAGCCGTGCAAAGTTCAGTTTCAAGAGAGTGCTTTCGATCGGAGGTTATAAACACCGGCCCTTGTCTTGCATTTTGGCCCTGCTGTGGGGAAAGGGTCAATCAAAGGCCTCCACTGTGCCTCGCTAAAATTTGGCCAGTGAGGAGGAAAACATTTAAAAAAAACAATCCGATGTGAAGACTGAGAGAGATCAGCATCCCTGCAGCTCTCAGATCAGCTCTGATCCCAGAATGTGTGCATGGGTGAGAGAGAAATGTATGTTTCTGTGCATGCGTGTCTGCAAGTGTATCCATCCACCGGAAGAGGCGTATGAGACTATATGTGCATGCATATGTGCACTGGGACAATGTGGAATATTGTCAGGGAACTAGCATGGCTCACAGTGTGTGTGTGTGTATGTGAGTGTATGTGTGTGCAAGCAGTGATCACATGCTGTTTGCTGTATTCCTGCTGGGTGTGATGGAGTATTGTGTTGGGTCACCAGTGTGTATTCATCATATTGACTGGTAAATATACATGGATTTCCATTTCATTTGTGCAAACGTCCACACATATACAAGGCGTGTGTGCTTGTTTGTGTGTGTGTTGTCACTGTGTTAATAGACTCACCAATGACAACAGTGGTGATTTGGTTCCTGCTGGACCCGAGCCGATTCTTGACCTCACAGATGAAGGTGGTGTTGACAGCATCATCCACCTTCCTCACTGTCAGCTTGTTGCCCTCCACCACCACTGTTTCTGGCAAAGGACCAGAAGCCCTGTTGATGGGGAAAAGATGAGAAGGAAGGCGAAGCAGGGAGGACATAAAAGTGAGGTCGTGAGTACAAGTTTTTGGTGAGATCACAAAGGATCAGAGCAGAGAGGAATGGAAAAAAGTAATGAAGAAGTAAAGCAGGAGAAGTAAGTCATTGTGTAAATCAGGGATAACAAGAAAAGACGAGACGAGACGGTGGGGACGAAAAGGAAGCAGTGACGAGGTCATATATTTGGAGAAATTGGATAAATAAGATGAGGGGGAAAATTGAAAAGACAAAATCATGAAAGAAAGAAGGAGAATAAAGAAAAAAAAACAGAAAAAATGGGAAAAGACAGAAAATGTGGTTTGAGGAACATGGTTTGTTGCTGCAATATTCAAAGATGGCAGTAATGTGTGAAAAATCATGCGAACAGCCATTCTGTCTCCCTGCTCAATATTCATAAAGAGAAAGCAAGCCATCTGTCCATCAGAACGACTTTTTTTTCTTTTTTTAAAAAACACAAAAGCATTTGAATGTCTACTTAAAAAAAATATTTTGCCAAAGCATGGCAAAGAAACATCCTCTGCCAAGGCCAGTGCCCCAGTTTTGTGATTTTAATGAAAAAGTTCCAGATCTGTACGTAATTTAGTGGGTTTTTCCTTTGCCCATATTCTTCCTCTCGGAGAAGTTTCTGTGTAATGTTGCTGATAAACAACCAGGCAAACAGGCCTTCAAAAAACCACCTGGCTCACCATTTGCCCTTAACTACCATTACAGCGAAAAAGAAGATTGTCAGGCACATTTCTGCAGGGATTACAACTAAAACCCAATTTACAAGAAGGTTAGGAGTAAAATGTAAATAAAAGCAGAAGGCAATAAGACAAAAAGCATCCCAGATATCTTGATGGATTAAGTGTGACCCTTACGCAGTCCAGGTGATTGTTGTGGGCTCGGGGTTGGCGTTAGCCAGGCAGACCAGCGTGGCATCAGAACGGCCAACGTACCAGTTGTGGTCGTATCCCTCAATGGACACAGAGGGTAGATCTGAAACACAGAAAAGAGTCACAATAACTTTGAATTTAATCATTTAAATTACAGAAAAATGTTGGAAAATAGCAACAGCTCTAAAGTTTTGCATCAGTTTCATGAACTCAAACAAACAAAAACCAAGTTCAGATTTAATCCTCATGTATCCAGAGGGCATTAAAAAAAAAAAAACAAGGTAATCTTAGCACAAAGAAGGCTGTGTGTGTGTGGAAATTTCAAAAAAGCCTTCCTTGTGGCTTTCTTTCCCTTCAGGTTTGAAAAAGAAAAGCAAGTGAGAGGACTATAGGTGTGAGGAGAGGACAGTGTGTCAATGAGAGTAAGAAGAAGCAGGGCAGGATGGTAAGTGTGTGGTGTGATGTGTGTGTTCCTCCTAGAGTGCGCTGACCTATAAAAGCTGATCTGAGTTACACAGTAGACAGGAGACATGATCCTTCACACCATCACTAAACTAACACAAACACAGCGAGGAATCACGCTGTGTGAGCATGCCTGCTGCAGGTCTCCTATCTCTGCGAGCACCAATTTTAAGTACAAGGACATGTTTTTCCACTCCTCACTAAAGGCTACTTCTACTTGAAATTTACTTTGAATTAAGTTTAAGTTGGGATTTCAAACAGATGAATGAGTGTCCCCTCAAAAGAACTACATGTGCATGACATGCACACACACATAAAGTACACACAAACAGGGCACGATGGAAAAAGTTCCTCGACTCCATAAAAAGCATAAACCTTGTTTGATGAAATGTGACCTCTATTTCCTGAACTGAATAAGCAGAGAAAACACTGATGGATGGGTGGATCCCCTTCAATGGACTGCTCCTGCTTATTTAGGTTGTTGCCTGAGAGTTTTCTTGCGACCACTTGCACATACCCATCAGCTGAAAGTATCCCATGCAACAAAGGCAACCCCTAAACCTGAATTTCATTTCAGCCAGAGGATTAAGTTACAGGTAGCCAAACCTGGGAAGTAAAGTCAGTGAAAAGTGACAATTGCTATTTGAACCTAACACTTTTTTTTATCAGCAGTAATCTTCAAAACTTTATGCAGACATAATAAAAGCTATGATAAAAATCACAGACGGTTGCAAGTGATCAGTACAGGACTTCCACAGATATACATATCTGGAGGTGTTTTTGCTTTTTATTTAATTAAATGCATCTTGTAGATACTAAATCTGGGCACGTGCATACAGTACATACTGAGATGTACACTTCTTGAAAGGTAGTTAAGATAATTTAAAAGCTTGACTTGCAGCCATATCACTGTGAATGTCACAGAACAGTCAGGGGTCTTGTCCTCGTAAGACAAGTGCATGTAAGAACAACAATTCTCTCAACAACATTTGACATGCACGCTTTGATTGTGTGTGGATGCCACCTAAAATTTAGAGATTACAAAACCAAGCCGAAAGAAGACAATCTGTTCCATCTTTGCAGTAACCGGCAGCAAGGTCACACCGTTGAGACGATGCTGGCGGCATCCCTAAATCTCTTGAAAGCCACGCTGAACCTGTGTAATATTTTAATCCCATGCAAATTAGAATGGAATTTAATGGATTCATTTAAAGCAATGTGTGTGTGTGTGTGTGTGTGTGTGTGTGTGTGTGTGTGTGTGTGTGCAAAATGTGTGTTTGTGATTTTTTTCTATGCACCCGAGGGCCAAAAGACCTAAAAGGACAAATTAAAGAAAATTCTTTGGGGGCATTTTCTTCATCTTACTTCTTAAGCGCTCTCTGTACAGTTTGGGTTTACTGCAGATTGAACATTCTGAGTTTCCATACGCATCTGCTTCATCTGTCCTCATATTGCATGTAATTAAAGATTTCTAAGTGCATGCATTTGTCATAATCTGCTGATAAATTAACAACTAAGGAGAACCAGCAATGAACGCAGAGCCCATTAAGGATGCTACAATTAATAGTGCACAAAATCCTACAGTTTTATCAGCAAAGGATTACACTCCAAAACAGGATATAAGCAACAGGCTGCTGGGTGCATTAGTTGCTAACCAAGGATCTTGTGGTACAGTTAGACATACCGAATAAACCAACCTTGGCTGAGTTTGCTTTTGGCTGGTTTTAAGCTCATTACCTCAGTTATTCAGCAAAGAGTTCCAGCAGTGGACTGCAACATGATATACCACTGTAATTTAATCAATTCCAAGTACACAAATACTGTCAGTGAAAACTTGTCCTTGTTAGATCATGATGTGCATTCACGAGGCAGTTCGCAGTCTTTCTGTGTTCATTTGCACCACTATCCCAAACGTGTTGTCACATATTCTGCAGGTTTGCTATACTATTTCGACAATGGCAATGTAGGCAATTTGTTTATTTTCTCTAGAAAATTTTAGTCAATTTTATTTCAATTGCAATTTTTCCCCTTGTTGTTCCCACCAGTGGGGCCCTGCCGTGAATTCAAGTAACACTGCATTACAGAAACAGTATATAATGCCTCTCAGTTAGTGGTAAAGCACTTGCAAGTGACTGTGAAAGTTAAGGGCTCCAGGTTCTTTGAAAAGCACTGATCTGCGTCTGAAATTGCATGCACTTTCAAGTTATTTAAAACTTTAGTTGGTCTTGTGATCATTGAAATAAAGTACCCCGTTAGGGAACACAATTCTAAGTGCTTTGTTCAAGAGTGTATATATGTGTGTGTCTTCCTTACACTCCACAGATAGCTTGATGGGGTAAACCCAAGGCTGCTTCTGTGTCTTCTGGTTGACTCTGCAGATCACTTCCCTGCCGTTGTCTGCCGGTGTAGGGACCAGCCGATACTCGCTGCGTACCGTCACCGTGCCGTCTGGCCCGCTCGTGGTGCTGGTTGAATGATTGCCTCCCACTGGCGCCAACCACTCGATCGTGGCTGCTGGTTTGGCGTCCGCTGCCTCACACCGGGCTACCACCACCGACTTGGTGCCAGCTTGGACAGTCACACCATTGGCCGAATTCTTGGGCTTGGCTGGGGGGATGATAGATAAGAAAGACAAGGGGGGGAGTTAAGTAGGAGAGTCCAAGACAGAAGGCACGGAGGGGGAAACAGAGAGAAAAGAAAAGTGGCAGTGCAGGGAGAAAGATAAAAGAAGGGCGGTGAATGGAAAGGGACATCAAACAAGAGGCCCAGGGAGAGAAGAAGAGGGAGGAGGGCAGGGAAAGCATAAGAGGAGGAGGTGGTTCAGTTTGTTGTGCATATATACTGTGGTGGCATCCTACTGTGGCTGTAATGAAATACCGAGAGAAGCAGGAGGCCCTCTGGTGTGACTCTGGGCCAGTCCACTTCATAGGGACAGAAAGAGGAAACACACATAGATCCGTAAAACCGCATACACCAGCCAATGCAAGTGTTATAAAGAATCATAATGTTTATACCATGATATGATATGAAAACCGTGTGAAAATGGTCAATTTTATTTGGATAAAACAATCAGTTTTGAGTTACTGTCACCAAAAATTGCTTTGCTGGTAATTCCCAATTGAATTGAAGCCAAAATCATACTAGTAGTTTCAACAGCAAAATGCACGAAATTGCTTTCCATCTTTGTAACGTTAGGTTTGTCAAACTGTATAGAACTTCTAGAAAGTGCCAATTTTCCATGAAAACGTCCTCCCCTTCTTAGAACAAACTGCTACACTATCAATCTATCAGCAAATATCACCGAATTCCATTATTTTGTGATGTCAAGTCTTGAAATTTCCTTGTTTTGTTACACCCACTCACCTCAAACATGCATCATTTTGCACTGCACAATATGATTTCATAAATTCCCCCCAAACGCCTTTAAATCTGTTTTATGTGTCTGTAGGCTATGCAGAGAGACAGTAATGGACATGCTGAAATTGAAAGATTTTTCATATCAAGAAAAAGTGAGGCAGTTACCAAAAACAGCATATCGCCTCCTGATTCACTGAGGCTTCTGTTTTGTCTGTCCTCGTCGGTGGATTTCTTTTCATTAAATGGCTCAAGAAAGAAGTCCTTCACTCTAAGGACAGACAAAATCTTTATCTCTGCTGCAAACTCCACTGCTCTAAATTTTAAAAAGTGCCATTTGGTTCCTTAATGTTATAAACAACCAAATATCCATGAGAATAAAATTACAAGGTACTATTAACTTGCAAAACAAACTTTAGCCTTTCCAACAGTGGTAAATGCTTTCCATTAATACTTAATTTTAATTTTTTTTAATGCACCCATTAAAGGTGTTAATTTCAGAACCTGGTAAGACCAGCACTTAAAATAATAATGAAGTTGTATAAATTCACATCACACTTTGATTTGTTCACAGGTATAAAGTCCAGCACAATGTTTCACATTAAATTCAGCTCCTATGACATGTATGTAATGACAGCGAGCAGTCTGACGGCGCTGACCTTAAAAAGAAAATACATAGTAAGTCATCGTAACTGGCTATTTTTTCCCCACTTTATTTCATGTTCTTTCTCAAAGTTTAAACTTTGGGTGTAAAGTAAGAATCTAGAATGCACAGCATCAGTAGTTGAACAGTTAGATATTTTTCCTCCTTTTCTGCCTCTTTACAAACTAGTTTGAAATGTAATCATGGTTATTACATTAAACTAGCTGTGAATAAATATGCCTTCAATGAAGATGTCAGTTTTATTAGTTTCTAGTCCACCAGAATCCTCTGAGGTTTTAACCAGAAACTGTCATTATCACTGACAAGGGAACATGTCCACTTAAATCATGGAGAGCATTCTGGACATGCTGTGCTCCATGTAAATACCAGATTGGCTGTCACTTCCTAACTATCCTGTGCACATTTGCGGTGCTGGAGCATAACCTGCAGATTCTGGCAAACCCACTACCTTTGTCTCTGTTTTTGCTTTTGTTAATCTCATTTTTTTTCTTTAATTCTGCTCAATGCCTCACTTACATATGGATAGACAACACTGCTTCAGTCAAAATGGCTACTGTCAATCAACTTGTTCACGACGAGTGTTACATTTAAAATAGCACAGAGCAGCCAAAGAAATGTCTAGTGGGCTACTGTCCAAGTACTCATGAAACCTAGCAGTGTGGGTAGTGTGTAACTGTGAGGAGGATTGCATCTAATGTGCATTTCTTTCAATTTTGAAATAAATCCCCTCAAATTAAAGCATTTTATGTAGCATCCAGAATCTTAAATGGAATTTGGTGAACCACCAGTCTTGAAGAACAAAAACAGATTTGTTTGCAGGTTAAACTATAGAATAAAAATACGTATCTGGAATCATTTATGGACAAATGCTTCCACTAGCAGCTGAACACAGAAGCATTGTTGTTTCCATTTACTTACTCTTGGTTACAAGGTACAGTATCTGCTGGCTATGCTTGCAGTGCCCACTTCAACCTCAAGGACCACATATTTTGGAAAAAATGAATGAACTCACTTTCTTTAAACGAGCCTGTCAATCACTGCTAATTAGACATCATTATCTTGCTGCTGCCTCTGGGCATTTCCAAGATTTTTTAAATGGGTGCCAAAAGGGGAGACCATGAACATGCTCATGTGCAGCCTTGTGTGTCATTACAGATTTATTATGTGAAAAGTTCTGTTGCACGAGATTTTAAACATAATTCTGTGTTGGATAATTGTTTTGCAAAGTGTTTAGACTTTTAACTTAATTAAAACTTAAGTACTTAAGCAGCTTAATAATGCACAGTATAATTAATATATATTTAAACTATCCAAAATAAATGTAGTCAATATGCAGAATGACACTTTCCAGATTCATGTACATAATATTCTTGTCTCATAATATGGATTTTTTGATCTGTATATCTGTTATGTTGCAGTTGTTGATGATTTTAATTACCTACATATATTAAGGGAGTTCATCTGCAAAAAAATCTAAAGTGCAATAATTGCATCCGAAATAAAACAGAGTAAAAGCTGAAAGCAGGGTAACATAAAAATATTTAACTCAATGACAAGTACATTAAACCTCAGTAAAGGACATGAGTAACTGAACTGTTGCATTCCTTCTGGTCCTATCCAGGCTCTCATAACGATGGTAGGGATTCTCAGATTAACTCCAGTCCAGTGGCTTTGTTGAGGGCCACCGAGGGAAGCCAATTAGATTTGGTCAGGGGGCACTGGGGGAATGGGGGAACACTCCCTGCCTCTCTTTTGGACTGCCTTTGTGTCGTAAGGCCTGCATCACCTCTTTGACGAGAACACGGTTGTGTGCCGTTATAACTTTCTTTCTCCTCTACGTTTCTGTTCTAGCTGCTCACTGATGATTGACTAAGGCCAGCTCTGTCTGTCTATCATCCTTAGCATCTAATCCAGTTTCACCTCCCTCCTTATGTTCCAGCCCTTAAAGTCAGTCATAACAACATAATTACACATCAAGGCTCCATGCTACTATGCAGATTGGTACTTGTTTCAAGTGTAGATAGCTCAATTATCTGGAGTTTTTTTTATGGTAGACAGACACTCATTTAGATTCTTCTTCTTATATTTATCTACTCTTATTAATAATAATAATAATAATAATAATAATAATGGACTGGATTTATATAGCGCTTTTCAAGGCACCCAAAGCGCTTTACAATGCCACTATTCATTCACTCTCGCATTCACACACTATTATGACACTTTGTAGTCTTAATCATCATACAGATGAGTCTGTTAGCTTTGACAGGTTTATTTTAATTGACTTCAAATTTAATAACAAGAAAATCTAACGTAAGCCAAAATTAGCATCACATATTACATACTTGCACATTTTTTTCTGAAACCTGAAAATCATATAGAAGAAGAAACAAAAGGAAGGGAAAACGAGCAGAGATAAAGTGAGACAAGAGAGGTGAGGGAGAAACTGGAGGAAACAGAAGCCAACAGAGGAAAGAGACAGAAAGAGACTGACCGGGCAGAGAGTAAAGCAGGATGGCAGAAAGGGGTTTGGATTGATCTAGCAGTTTAGACGAGTCAGGAGTATCCGTCCCTGATGTGTTTCGTGACACTGCATTCAATTGAGCCTGTTGCTACTCCTCACATCAGTCTGAGGCGAGTACAGAGCAATTAGAAGGCAAGCGGGAAGCCATGCTAACAGAGTTAACAAACGCTGCAGCTCCAACACCCATCCTTATCACAGACCTCCGAACACGTCACCACCCCCCGGCGGTAATATCAAAAGGCTGAATGTCGGAAATTGACAGGGAGAAAGGAAAAATGCATTAAAATAATGTTTCCAAACACAGTTAACTGCATGAGGTGTTTGGTTTATAAAACCAAGCACTTAGAAAGAAATGTGTTCAAAAGGTGAACGCATCATACTCCCCACATGCTTCATTTTAAGTGTTCCAATTGCATTTTAATTCGTGTTTTGACCAAAGACTTTGGTAATCATAACAAAAGCATTGCAGTTAAAAACTTTTCTAAACTCTCCCAAAGCAGCAAATTTATTTGCCCTCTAGAAACAATTAGATTTCAGAGCAACACATTTTCAGAAGAGACCATTTTCTCGCCTTCCTTTATATAAAGATTTGTTGTGAAGCCGTCACTGTACTGATAGAGATTCTCATCACTGTTCGGCAGGGATGACACCTACCCTAACTTGAACCCATGACTTCTCTAAGATTGTCTCTTCACAGAAGAAGGCCTCTCACTGGAAGGTTGCCAGACTGAATCATAAACACGATGGGGCTATCTGCCAAACGCAAAGATTTGAGAGTGTGAAGCCAACTGTTGCTGAATTAAGGTGGCATTCGGGTAAGACAGCTGACATCTGTCATAGTGGCAGAGCTTGTGTTGAAACCAACCAAGCACCAGAAAGCAAATTAGTGAAGCCAAGTACTGACCTATATTACTGCTTATATTTGGAGATTGAAGATTCCACCATAGAAACATACCTATGGAACCATAACAGTTTGATTATGAGAGTAATATTCAAATTGTGTAGATCAGATTAGAAGTGGTTTTATGTACATAGTTTATACTTCATACATCTTTGAAACCACGA